ATAAACATTAAAGAAAAATAAGTGAGGTACTTCTGCCCCCCCCACCCCCCCAAGAGGACTGGGACAGCCAAGCTGTGGAATAGTGTCTTAAGTACCGCAAGTGTTTTAGGACAAAATAATGTAATTATAATATACACAAAATTCTCTTCCGTGTTTCAGTTTTAAACCTGACAACTTTACAAATGTTTTTCTCTACAATGAACTCGAATATAAAACATCATGTGCATAAAGCAGATGCAGACACTTGCTAAACTTCACCTTTAAGGATCTACTCGATTAAACACAAATCAAACACTGACAGTCAACCAAACCTAAGTTAACTGGTGAAGCTGAAGACTCAACCCTCTGTTCTACTAGCTTCACTGAGATAGTAATTACAACAACACTGTTCTCCCATTTAATGCCTGATAAACCTCATAATGAAAAAGAACTTAAAGCCCGACTTACAGGAACAGGAACTGTAGTAGGAACAGGAATATTCTGACTGTACATGTGCATAGGTACTGGGATATACACAGGCACAGGGATAGGCACTGGAACATATTCTGTCTTCCAATTATCATCTAAAAATACAAAATGTGTTTAAAGAGCACTTATATATCATTACTCAGTGTTAAAATAATTTGGTAACAAAGAAATATTTAAGTGCCTCTGTTCCCATTTAAAAGAAATTCTCAGTTTTCACAAAATTAGGTGATGTAAAAACAACAAAACTAAATATAGCAGCTGTATTAACCTAAAGAGAATAAAAATAGAATTTAGGTCTTTTTTTTTTCTTAATACAAAGAAAATATCCCTTAAAAACGTTACATAGTTCCAGATAGCCTAGATTCCCCTCATAACCCCTGCAAAAATATGTATCTAATCAATTAAGATACATTTAAATCTCATAAAAACACATATTTGAATTATTTCATCGCATTCTGACAGGGAAATAGAATTGTTAACATTACAGGTCACTCTTAAAGAGGTGATCTCTGAGGCAACACTTTAACTTTAGTGAATTTTAGCCCCAAGGAAATTTTTAATATAGTTTTTCACCTGTGACATAATTTTTATTCTAGACCTTTAACACAGATTTTCATTAATGATTTTAAATATTATGCTGTATTCTCAAGGCAATATCTAAAACTGGATAAGCAAAATCAACAGGGAATGACAAAGTGACCAAGCAGACACATTCCGTAGCCTATTATCTGAGACAAGCATGAATTTCAGTGAGTGAGGTGTTAAGTCAAATTTTCCTAAGTTACCTGTCTGACAAGATTTGGTCTGCATGTGAGGTTTACAGTAAGTAGCTTTCGTCATTGTTAAAGGTTTGCAGAGAACGGCTTTGTTCTTCATCTCTTTGTTAGGTGTTGGAGAAGGGGGTGGAGCTGAACCCTACAGAGAAGCAAAGGGAAACATTTTATTTTTGCCTCTAATTTTCTTACTTCCTGGTGTTAATGAATATCTAGGTCATGTGGAGGGAACACACAAAAGTATAAGAGTATAACCAAATTATGTTATTATTACTATGTTTACCATAGTCTTAATCTGAAAGGATCAGTATGAATCTGTCCTAACTACAGACAAAGCAGTAGTAATCATTCATTCGTGACCTTCAATGGATACCACCAGCACATTTTTTAAAAAACCATAAAAAGACAATTGCCACTTTTAAATAAACAGGAAAAAAAAAGCAAGGTTGTTAACCTGAATTTTGCAAATAATTAGGCTTTTTAAAATTTATTTGAGAAAGAAAAAAGTTCTTAGTTATTATGGCCATCTGATACATACTAGTTCCCTGTACTGGATATATAGTTTGTATATTTATATACTAAATTTTAAAAGTTAAAAAAAAAAAACGATGAAAAGGATTACCAAAAATATTATCAAGCTTCCAACTATATATTCTTATATCCCAACAATTACAATTTCAGAAACTTATTCTAGATAATAGTCTCAGATGTTTTCACCATGTTAACTGTAGCATTATTTACAATTGAAAACGCTTCACACTTCCCCCGCCCACATACACACACATAAAATCTAAAATAAGCTAATGATCTGTCCATAAGGGACAAAACATAAGGTGCTCTCCATACCACCTATTGATCTAGGAAAAAAGGTACAGAATATCTGAGGTACTTAAGTTCTAGACGGTAACCATGAACACTACTGAACCATTACTCCAAAAGGAAATACAAGGTTAGGTTCCTGCAAGCCTCAAGCCTCTGGTTACATCAATGCATAACCTTGTTTCTGCTGAAAACACCCTTGATTTCATATATATTTCTTACAAATAATTATATGTAGATTCTTTATAACACATTATGATTATAGCATTTTGCGTACTGTACTAGGATTACGGACGCGCGCACACACACACACACACACACACACACACAGTACACAGATACAATACACACATACCATACAGTACTCATACTCCGTCCTGTTAACACACACTATATATTGTACACTAATGCAAATAAAGTCCTAGGAAAAAAGCCAAAGATTAAACATTTAAAGTTTTATAAAAACATTAACGTCTTACTCTTAGTGGACCTGCAGGATGTACAATGGGGCAGTGCACTGTGTGGTTAAACCTCTCAACCTTTGGCGTGCCCATAAAAACCAAGGGAAAGGTTGTTGACAATTATTCTGCAGAAGAGGAAGAAGTCGATGAGGGTGACATGGTGACATCTGGCAGTTCTACCTCAAGAGTTTGGTTCTTGCAACTTGTGGACAATATCAGCAACTTTCCCTCCCAAACTGGCTTCAAAGAATTAAGTCAGCCTTGTCTGCTTAACTTCTCACCTCAAATCTTTTAAGCGTCTTGACGTAAGGGGCAAACACAGTGGTGTTAAATTTGAGGCTTTGTTCAAGTACAGAGTCACATTCTTCCATGTGTGTCACTGACAATTTTTCCCAAGGCAGAATTCCATTCCAGTATTTTGGCCACTGTTAGAAGAGCAATTCTTGGGAGTCTTAGGCTGCCTTGCATCACTGAATCTGATGCCTTTTTTGGTCATCTTGTCCAGGTCTTCTTCGGTGGCTCTACTGCCTTCTCTACCAAAATTTCCTCCACATCTTCTTCCTGCATGGCCCCAAAGCCTTCTTCACTTACTTGGTGCAACACACATTATGTTTTTAACACTGTTCTTTTTATTTTCTGTAACACCTTCAAAGCCTCTGAAACTTTTCAATGCAGTCTGGTCAAACATTTCCCCAACAATTATTCACAGTAGCCTGCTCGATGCTGTCCTAAGCTGTGCCAAAACAATCACATTACGTATGGTGACTGACTTCCAGTAATCTATCAGGGTGGTTTCCTTGTTGGTGTTGAGAGCCTCAAAAGCTTTCTCATGAAGTAGGCCTTGAAAGCTTTAAGTGTGCCCTGATCGAGGGGGTGGATGGGAGACACAGTGTTTGGGGGCATACAAGGAACTACACTGAGATAGGCATTTTTGAGTTCTTCAAGGCAATGGATATTATCCAGGAATAAAACCTCAAAGGCAAGGTTTTCATTCTGAAAACCATGTTCAACCTCTAGGATGAAGCAGTTGGGAGAACCAATCCCAGAATATTTTAGATAACCATTCATGCATTCTGTCCTACCTCCAATGGGCTGGCACACAGTTCAGTTTTTCCCTGTAAGCGCTCATGGATGTGGGGCTCTATGCACCACGAAGGATTTACACATAGAACCACTCTTGGCACTGGCACACTCTAGCAAGGTTGTATGGTCTCTAAATGACTTAAAGGTCAGGGGCTTTGGACACCACTTGTATTATATGGGTTCATTTGCCACTGACCTTGTGAAAGCAAGCCAGTCTCATCAGTGTGGAAAACCTGCTTGTCTGGATATCCCTTCTTCCTGTGTTATCACTTAGCTGGTATTCTTCCACAGCATCCTGGTTCTGATCTGCAGAACCCACCTTGCCTGCAAGTTTAACATTTTTCACACCATTTTTCCTTAAAATGCGTGAGCCAGCCAGCAGGAGGCAAGGAGCGTTTAACAGTGCCCTGATCCTGGGAAACGTGTTGTAAGCTCAAAGTCTCACCACAATGCTGTTTCATTGTTTTTTGGTTTTCTTTTTAATTAGTCCTAAGTCCATGGATCCATAAATAGAGTCACTATTCCTTCTTTTCCACAGCTTCACCATGCACTATAGGTTTTATTTTAGCACTTGGAGTTGCCTCATCTACAGATTGGTGAATTTCTTATTCCTTTTTTCTGGGTATACCATATTGTTGATTCACGAACATTAAACTCACTGTAAACTGAATGAAGCTCACCTAACACACCTTATTTCCTCTGTAAGGCAAAAAGCAGCCTTCTTGTGCTTAGGAACACTAGCCAGCACTTTAATACTATGTTTAGGGGATCTTTTATGAAGCAAAATCACCAATAAAAAGGACAAAATATGATAAAGGTGGTACACTAATTAGACTATGAAAAGGAGACCTGTTTACAGGATGAGCTGACAAGAAGGGAAAGCTCTGCCTTGTTCCACACCTCAGTAGGAAGATGCACTTCAGGAAATTCACATTTTTTTACCACTCTGCACATGTCTTTGAAAAGTGTCATGGGCATTGATTTAGGGGTTACAAATAAATTTCAGAGAAGAGGCAAATTTGCAAATATGAATGGTGATCAATTGTACTTAAAACATTATCACTGTTTAATAAATTTATCTGTGCATATTTTAAGATGTGGAAAGATATAAATTTTTAAAAACTAATACATATGGCCACAGGGCTGGTACTAGTATGAGCTTATTCTAGATTCATCAGGATTTCAAACCACATAATTAATCAGCTAAGAAAAAGAGCTGTGAACAAGAACCTAAGGAATTTATTTCTAACATTACTGCTGTGTTAACATCAGGCAACTGACTCAATCTCATGTCTCAATTTCCTCAACTGTAAAATGGAAAGAATAATTTAACATAGAGTTATTGTGTATCTATTATATACTAAGACTAGGTAAGTTCGGTCCAAACTGCAAAATACTCTAGAATCCCCACATAAGAATAAGGGGTCCAAAATCATGTATGTCCTAGATTACTCAATGTTTTGCTTCCTGTCATTCTAGAAACATTACACCATGTCAATTAAACTATGTCACCTGGGGCACCTGGGTGGCTCAGTCAGCTAAGGGTCTGACTCCTGATTTTGACCAGGTCATGATCTCACAGTCTAGTGAGTTCGAGCCTTATGTTGGGCTCTGTGCTGACTCTGCGGAGCCTGCTTGGGATTCTCTCTCTCTCTCTCTCTCTCTCTCTCTCTGCCCCTTCCCAGCTGATGCTCTCTCTCTCAACATAAATAAATAAAAACTCAAAAAAATAAATACTGAAGGAGGACCCAAAGCAATGAAAATTATAATGACAAAAGCTACCAATTGTTGAGTATTTGCTTCATGCCAAGGACTATGTGCTACAATGTTTGTATCCTCCTAAAATTCGTATGTTGAAATCTAATACCCAATGTGATGGCATGTGAAGGTGTGGTCATTAGGTGGTGATTATGTCCTGAAAGCAGAGCCCTCATGAATGGATTAATGCCCTCATAAAAGAAATTCTGGGGTGCCTGGGGGCTCAGTCTGTTAAGCATCTGACTCCTGATTTTGGCACAGGTCATGATCTCATGGTTCGTGAGATCAAGCCCTGCCTTGGGCTCCGCACTGAGAATGTGGAGCCTGCTTGGGATTCTCTCTCTCCCTTTCAAAATAAATAAACTTAAAAAAACCCAAAAAATCCTAGAGATTCCTCACCCCTTTCCACCATATGAAGACACGGTGAAAAGATAGCTGTTCATAAACCTGGAAGCGAGCCTTCACCAGACACTAGCAACTTGATTTTAGACTTCCCAGCCTTCAGAGCTGTGAGAACTTCTGTTGTTTGTAAGTCATCTCATCTAGGGCATTGTGTTACAACAGCTCAAATGGGCTAAGACATTATGTAAAGCACCAAATTTACATAACTCATGAAATGGGTTATTTAATTCTTGTAACATTACAAGAAGTAAGTCACTTAATCACTCCCACTTTACAGATGAGAAAACTAAGGCTCGGAAATTAACAACCTGGTAACAATGACAGAGCTAAAAATTCTGAAGTCAGGACTCAAGTAAATTCATCTAACAACAAAGCCCATGTTCTTAACTACCATACATACCGCCTTTATGAGGTCTGGAACATAGCAGCTACCATGAGTTTAATACTTACTATGTGATAACCCTGAAGCAGGCACTATCTTCATCCCCATTTTACAAATAAGGAAATTCACAGAGAACTTCTGTGAAGGGACTTGCCCAAAATTATACAGCTAGGCTCTCACCCTTTGAAGTTCATGGGTGAGGAATTAAGATTCCAAAAGCTTACAAGGAAAAAATGGGAGAGGGCTTCAGTAAGACAAAAGGTAATAGCTGCGGCGGCACCCGGACTTACTCTCCCCTAGACCATCCTGTCTGTCATAATAATGTGGCTCAAGTGCTCTGAGAGGAAAAAAGTAGTTAATACTGTGCTGGTAGAAGGGGTGCCTTAAAGCCTTTGAAACAAAGCTAGAAACTGCCTTATGGCTGTACAAAGCTAACAAAATAGGGAGTGGCCACCCTTATATTCCCCATTGCGGATAAAAGTGCCTGGTATTGAAATCAGAGGATTCAGCCGAAGTCTTCAAAGCATTTATGAATTATCTGATTTTAAATATAATTTTCCACAAGGCAGAGGGGATGACGTATAGGGGAGGGAAGCAAAGGAGAAAGCACTCGTACTTTCTAGGGTTCTAACTATTAACATCACAAGCAGAAACTGAATGGAACAATGTAAAACCACCAATTTTTCACCAATGTCAGTGATCCTAAATTGTGGTTACATATTAAAATCACCTCAAGAACTTTCTAAAAATGCAGAATTTCTGAGTTGGAGCGTAGGCATTGGAAAGTTCTGAAAACTCCTCAGGTGATTCTAATGTGTAGCCAGAGCTAAGAACCACTGATTTATTCTTTCTTACCAAGATAAAAACTAGCTCAGAGGGTTAATATAATGCCAATAAATGACTCCTATAGAGGTTCCCTTGGGTAAGCATACCAGAAATACCTGCATTCCAACACTGGTGATTATTGTTACTCAGCATACAAAAGGGTATCTCAATGTGCTTCAAAGTATAGCAAAACTTTGCTTCCTCTCTTTATTCATTACTCAAATGGCCGCCACTTTCAAGCTACAAAAGTCTTAAAATGCTAACATAAAGCAGAATTTGATGTATTACACCAAAAGGCTAAAGAAAAAAGAAAAAAAGTCCACAGGACATGTTCTGAAAGTTATTTCTCATATTTAAAAACTCACAAGTTCTGGGCCCCAACATATATCTTCAGATACCTATTGGAGAAATATATGCTCAAAGCCATTAATAATCTGGCCCAGCCCATCTTTTTACCCTCATTTCCCTTGAGTTCACCACAGGTACCCCTTAAGTTTGGCCCTAATGAATAGTTATGCAGGCCCTTAGCACATTTCTCCTACTTTTCATCCCTTTCTACCTGGCAACCTTCTACTAAATTGTTGAGAAGTTTTTTCACAGCCACCAGGAACAGACACAATCATTCAGTCAATCATTTCAAACATACTATTGCTACTGCCTTAAAGATTATAGGCACTTCAACTTCAATACCATTTATATGTCTTATCTCCTCCAATGTGGGTAGAAGCCATAAGTAATTCAAAGTATCTGTGTTAATGCTGGGTACTTCAGCTGAATACTTCAACTGTCCCAACAGGGGAAAGTAAAATTATTTTATTATTATGATCAGATTAAATTGGACTCTTTATTTATACCCACATTAAAAAATCAACACTTAGTACTTTACTTAAATAATACTTACTGTCATTTTGGTTCGGGACGTCTGACAACCCTGATCTAAAAACAAACAAATTAAAAATAAGACAAGTAACACTTTCTGCACAATGTTCTAAATCTGTATTTCTCATTAAATGTTACTGATTTTTAAAAAGAGTTAATGAAGAAAATATTTTAAGCTATTTTAAGTAAAGAATATCAAATGTGAGAGCTGCGACACAAAGCTAAATAAGTGGAATTAACCCTTTTCCCATTTTGTCCTCTCAAAAAGTATTCGCTGCTTTGGGGTCAATACTATGTTCTTATGTTTAACTCTTCAATAAGTCACAACTTGTAAAGAGTTTTTATTGTTCCTCCGAACCGAGTTTCAGCATATACGACGTGCTAAAAAATGGTTTTCATTCAGAATTGCATTGCTTTTAACTAGCACTAAAGTTTTAAAAGAGGATAAAATAAAAAGCAATGAATCTACAGAAATACCACGTGGGGCACTTCCACCCAGAAAAACGATGAAATCTGCTAGTAAACTATGTCAAAAATCAACTATTCATTATCATTACTTTGAATTCAGATCAGTTAGAAACTAAACACTGCTGTACAGGTTTTTCAAGTTACCACCTAAATTATTACATACCATAATGTAAGTTTTCAGGTCCTTTCTGAGTTGTCATGTTGGGCTCATTTTGCTGACAGTAGAAACGTAGTAAGCAGTGTTGATCACAGAAATGTTTCATCTCCCCACGCCACTGCACTCTCTCTTTAAGAGTTCCTTGAGATTTACAACAGTCACACCTTGCAGCCTTAATTAAAAAAAAAAAAAGGAAGGTATCAGACATTTCAAATTAGAAAATTTTTAAAGTCAGATATATATTTTAAAAGATTTCTAAAAGTTTATCAGTAATTCTGCCAAATGTGATAAAACAATTTCTGATAAAAAATGGTATGAATCATAAACATACAATAAAATCCACAATAAAAGTGAAAAAACTGTAGCAATTTACCTAATTATCAAAATCCTTTCTATACTTACCAGAAGTTAAAGACCAGCATTACAAAGATAGGATAACCTAAAAAAGTGAACATTGGTAGACCAAATAGGTACAGTATATTTTAATATTTTAAAATAATTTTGAGGACTCTAATGACATACTGCAGAAGTTTTCTACAATCATTACACTGAAAATCTCTGAGTAATAAACAGATTTCCTGCGTTCAACTGATAGCTCATGAAAAATCAATTTAAAGAAGTTGTGTAAGACCAGAAAAACTCTGAAACAAGCTCTTATGAGAAAATCATGCGTGTTAAGTTGAAGTGTATTCAACAGTTTAATAAATTTAAAGAGCTTTATTAAATACACTGATTTAACTATTAATAAGAACTTCAAGTTCATGTTTCAAATACTCAAAATATTTAATTGATTGAAAAATAATTATACTTTAAGACAACAAATTTGACCTACCTCTAGGAACACAATTCACCCTCAACTAGTCTAACAACTTCATAGGCAAAACAAAAAAAAAAAAAGAAAAAGAAAAAAGAAAGAGAAAAAAAAAAACCCACAAAACAAAAATAAAATCCATACATAAAAAGTTAAACCTTATGATGGTGAATCCATAATAGAGAGACAGATTTTTATTTTTTAGTGATCCCCTAAATTTTGCCCATTTTCACTAATTCTTAACAACTTGATCAATGAGTGGACCAAAGGATATGAATGGTTAATTTCAAATACAGTTCTTTTCATAATTAAGTATTTGATCTAGTTAAAGTAGAAATAAATTACCGTATTTCTTAAATCACCCTTTGGTTTAACAACTTAGAAGTTTTGATAAAGCAATACATATTACGTTCATAATAATCACGTGGTTTTTCCTCGTTACTCTACGTAATCTATGGTTCTATACTGTGGGTTTTGAAATCTCTCATTTTATGTTTCAATCGGAGTTCTATGAATAAATACTGTATCAAAATTCCTAGTCAGGAATATTACACATGATTTTGTTGATAAACAGGTCTTATATAACAAACATACCCCAAGGTTAGAACACAGGCTCTTTTTTTTCTCCAGGTCAGGTATTTCTCCTGCTGAATAAATGTTAAATGAATGAAGATTTGTAGTATAAATTATGACTATTAAGTGATGCCAATATCACATCTCTTGTCCAAAAAACTGTGACCTCAAATTTTATATTGCTGGTAAGACTATGTGGTAACTTCAGTATAATTAGCACTTACTATCACCCAGGTCATATTTTACTCAATAAAGAAAAAGGTCCCTGGTCACCACCCAAAAGCTGTTCTTTAAAATAACCTCTGAAGTATTAAAAGCTTCAGTGTTTGGTTCCCTTTTCACATTTTACACTAAAAGACAAAGCTCAAAGGAAGAAATCAAAAGCTTAACCTTCTAACCATTGAGTCTAAACAGTGTTAAGAACATAGCATAAGTGAAGTTGTTGCCTGACTACCTCATTCGAGAACCTGAAAAATAAAAGCCCCGCATGTCGTATCTACTCCCTGGAATCCTCAACACAATGCTGGAAACTAAAGTCCAAACAGATCAAGTGACTTGTGTAAGGTCAAACATTAAAAATGCAGAGACAGGATTCAAGGCAGACAATCCAAATCAAACAAGTTACAAAGACAATGGAAAGACAAAATGAATTAATGTGAGTTAACCAGAGAATACAAATCCTAACAGAAGTAAAATGCTGCAAGAAGGTTCTCCATGTAATATCTAAAACCCAAATCAATCTGTGTAAAACTTACTCAAATCACTACCTATACTATGCTAACTCTTAAAATACCTCCGTTTCCACAGTAATTTAGAAGGTCAAGGACATAAAGCCCAGCACATTATATTCAAAGAATCTGAACAATGAAATCACTTCATGATTACTATAGACATTTGGATTTTGTGCTTGAAGCTCCTTTCTTCCAGAAAGATTCAAAACAATTTGAATTTGTTTGAATTAATTTGATTTCTCTGTATCTGAAGAGGAGCAAAATTAATGCCAATGTACAAATGGAAACGAAACATGTATACACATTTTCAGATGGAAGGATAATAGCAGTACTCAATCCTAATCCCAAATTTAATGCCATAATCTAAGTTTTAAAAGTTGTAAACCTTTTTTCCATTTGGTTTTTTTCTTTTACAACCACTCATGCAAATTCTGGATGCAAGTGTTTGGAATTGAGCTTCAAATACAATGACTAATTGGGAAACATGGTTAAAAATGACCATCATTCCTTTACCAAAACCACTTCTTCCCAACCACAGAAGAGAACTCTTAGAAAAGCTGAACATTTCTATGCAAAAGAACTGAAGTATGACTTAATTGCTGGTTTAAAAAAATACCACTTCATCATCTACTTAGTGGTTTCCCTGTCACTGTGGAAAATCAGGGATTGTCTGTTATAAGGGGTCGGGGGGGGGGGGGGGGGGGGGGGGGGGGAGTGGGTAACAGTCAACAGTTCAAACAACCTAAATACGCAGGTGCTAAATTCTTAATTCAAAACTCTTAATCCAACATCTCAGCTAATACAGGAATTTCTCCTTCAGTAACTGACAAAGGGTTATTCATTCAGCCTGTACTGATGCAGTCCCTATTATTTGGCCATTTCAAATTCTCATTTTTGGTGATATAGTATACATCTTTGTAACTTTTGTATCTACTTGTTTCCTATTTTATCAATCAGATCTAATAAAGTGCTAGGAATTCTTCAGTTATCCAAAAAGCGTATCTAAAGTAAGAATATTAGATATTCCCTTTCTAAAATTATTTCAAAAACAAATAATCTTTTCAAATCAGTACTTAACAGCAATTTTTTTTTACAAAAGACAAAATTTTTAAAGCCCAATCTTTTTTACTGAGCTCCTTTTATGACTCAGATTTACTAAAACATAAGTATTAATTTGATCAAAACCCATAAATCATACTTTTATACTATTAGAAGGTATTCACATTAAAGCCTTTAATACCCCTACCATTTACTACTGGTTTGGACAACAAGTCAAAACCTGTGTTAAAACACTGTGATTTGAAGTAATAACATTTAAATCAAGATTATTAGTTCTACTAAGTACTGTGAAGTATTCTGAAGAAACAGTACGTCTTTTAAATTAATTTTACATTAAACATATTACACTCCGTTATAATACTAACTCCTTTCTCTCCCCAAATTTTTAACTTATAGAGATCGAAGAACTATCTTCCCACCTGGTTTCACAATATGCCTGGAAACATTTATTTTGAGGAAAAGTAAAATCTACTTCCTTCTAAAGAATTATCTGGGAGAAGAAAAAAATGTTTGTTAATTTTATTCTCAACATCTTTTGGTTGCATGTGTTCCAATTTAGAAGAGAAGAGTATTTAATAAGCCTCTATTTAAATCCAAATGTAAACCATTATAATGCCAAAAACAGATCATTCAAAACGTCTTGTCCAGTAAAACAAACATAAGCCAAAAATGTTAAGGCATAAGAATTATAAATATTTAATTTAAATAAATAAAAACATAAAGTTACTTGTACTCTAGATAGTCTCTCCAGCTGAAGCACAAAGCTAAGAGAAGGTGGAAACTGCAATGTATGTGCTCCTCTGGTTAGGTGGCAATGCTCATGACTAAAGGTGAAGTTAAACTGGGTTGGCTAGCCGTTGCTTTCAAAGTTTCCTTGATGCCACACTTTTTAAAAAATGATTTTTCTAATAAAAGCTGGATGGACTGTATAAAGGGTCTCATGTTTTAAAGAACTAAAAATGTAAAACTTTTGAGTTCTTAAATTTCAAAAGTGGAAGAGGAAAGAAGGTCAAAATAATCAAAATTTGGTGGGGACTCAACTTACTACGTTTTTGAGAGGATGACAGGATGCTAGCAGTGAACAGAAGAGACTCATGGGAGGTGTAAGAAAATACAACGTGACTCAAGTAGAAAGCACACAGAACAAACGTATTCCCTGATTACAGTGTTGGCTGCCTTCACAGAGAAGCCTATGATGAATGAGGGGGGCAACTCTTCATCTCAAAGCTGGTATTCCTACTGATTACACAGAGAAATCGTCATTACTTGCTTTAAAAATCCCTACCACATGACAAAAATGTTCTTACCTTTATTCCTCAGATTAGTATAGTATATAATAATGTTATAGTGCATATTGTACAAACATTTGTTGGGCTTAAAATAAGACAAATAATAAATATGTGTTTAAGGTATAGAATACTGACATTAAACCAACAGATAATAACAACTGGTTATTAAACTAACATGTTCTTATATGTTCTGAAATGCACTGCCTCACCAAAATTTCCTCATTAAACAGTGCATAAATAAAAACATTAGATACAATTATCCTTTAAAATAAATAGCAAAATGGAACAAATGGCAACATCTAGAATAATGTGGTCATTTGCCAAAGAACACTTCTTTGCTTTCCCAAAAAAAGGGGGGGGGGGGGAGAACCCACCAAAAGATTTCTCTATTTTAATATAAAAGGAAAACAAGAATTCATTCAAAGAAAGAAGCCAAACAGAGAAATACTGTCAGTGTCTTTTGAACAAAAAACAAAATCCTCCAAAAAAAAAAAAAATTTTTTTAATAACAGGTTTGGATTCACAATTAAGCAGAAATTTATACAGTGAAATAACAGAGAAATCATCATTATCACATGGTAACAACTTTGCCTCTCAAACTATAAAATAAATTATCAAAAAGGTAACCGTAAGAATAAAATGGAATTCTCCCATCTGTAGCCACTTTACTGTTTTGAGGTTACCCAAAACGAATTTTCAAAAATAAAACCTCCTAAACAGTGGACAGTGTTCACGTGTGCTAAACTAAAATTGAGGTTTTAAAGGTACTAAAGTAACATTATGAGCGATTGTTCTCAAAATTGCCACTGTCTATAACAAAATAAGAGGTTGGTTTAGACTAAAAGAAATGCATGTTAGAGGGTGTTAGTATGTTTGGCCTGTATGTTTCTTTTTTTTTTTTTAATGTTTGAAAATGTTTATTTTTGAGAACGAGAGTGAGAGAGCGAGAGACCATAAGCAGGGGAGGGCAAAGAGAGAGGGACACACAGAATCCGAAGCAGAATCCAGGCTCTGAGCTGTCAGCACAGAGCCCGATGCAGGGCTCAAGCTCACGAACCCAGAGATCATGACCTGAGCCGAAGTCGGACACTCAACTTACTGAGCCACCTTTGCGCCCCTGTCCTGTGTGTTTCTAAAATTTGAACCTTAACTTTAAGACTTAAATTAGTCAGAAGCAACAGTAAAATAATGAAGTGCACCAAAATTCTTAGCCTCCACAACTCTTACAACTTGGAAAGTATCTTCTTTTTATTTAAAAAATGTTACTTAATATGTTGAGCTGTAGACATTCAAGAACTACACCAAGAATTCTCCTAAATAGTATCATTTAACGATAATCACTTGCACTAAGTGAACTAAATAATATTCTATATGTTTCAGCCATTTTACTATTTATTTCTTTTAGCAATATTTCAGTTTTGAAGTTATGATGATGTCTGTCTTCACATGCTTTAGAAGTGCAACTATAATGAAGTTTTAACATTGACATGGTTTTCCTTGTTACGGACATATGAACTAATAACGTTTTCTTGGGTAATATCTGACTAAACAAAGCTCAAATATACACTCATTTTTCTTATATAGAAAAAAATACAGCGGACAACAAGTGACTTATCTTCACTCTTCTAGAAGTAGATTTTAATAAGACAGACAGACACACACACACACACACACACACACACACACACTTATTCACAGTTTCAAATTAAATATTTTTGGTCTCTATTCATATAGTGTCTTTTCAATTTGACAATTTAAAAGGTAAAAAAGAACAAAGTGTTCCAAAACACATCATAAGTACCTAAAACAATTACCTGCTACTGTTCAACACTGATCATGTTCATCAAAAATACTTCTATTTGTGGGGTGCCTGGGCAGCTCAGTTGGTTAAGTGTCTGACTTCGGCTCAGCTCATGATATCACGGTTTGTGAGTTCAAGCCCCACATCAGGCTGTCTGCTGACAGCACAGAGCCTGCTTCAGATCCTCTGTCCCCCCCCCCCTCTTTCTCTGCCCCTCCCCTGTTCTCTTTCTCAAAAATAAACAAACATTAAAAAAAAAAAAGTTTCTATTTGGTGAAATAAAGACCCAACAAATTTTAAAGAAATAATCTATTTTGTTTAAGCAATATAGTTTAAAATGAAAACAAAGATTGTTTTGCTGAAAACAAAGCTATATCCTAGTTTTGGGGAATAGCTAAGTTATAAAACAAGTAAAAATGCTATTCAAGTTATAAAGAAAAACTGAAATGATAAAAATTTTAATGAATTCCATAAAATGAATTTAATGAATCTGGGCTAAGCTTAATGTGTGCACATTTTTTAAATACATAAGCTACCATAAGTGTAATGATAATAACTGTAATGTCTTATCAAAGATTGGTTAAAGCAGCTGCTGTAATAAAAAATTTTAGTTACTTGCCTTGTAGTACCAATCCTGAAATTTCTTACAGCAGTCTTCACTACAGAAATCTCTCACGACACCATCAAGTTCTTTAGTTGCTCCCTTCTTACACAGCTGAGAGCAATAGTTGCAAGTAACACATCTCAGTCCTAAACGTCGTGCAAAATCTTGTTTATACAATAGTTTGCAGCCTGAAAAACACAAGGTTTTCATATTCAAACAAACAAACAAACAAAAACACATTAAGAAAGTACTTAGAGGTCAAATAGTTCATTAGCTTTATAGGAGAGTCTATAAGTTTGCATATAAAGTCCTCTTTTCTCCTGACCAAAACTGAAATCTAGTATGATCAGCAACCTGTAAATATTGAAACAGAATATGGAATACTTTATTAGATCTCATGTGAATTCAAATAATTAATGTTCTAAGACTTTCAAATCTAGCAATGCCTCATAACTATTTTGTTTGCTCTATTTAAATAGAAGTATCATACAGCAAACACACCACAAATAGGCATTAGAGAAATGAAACAATGTAGACTGTTGAGAAGCACTGAGTAAACATAAAGATATACTCAGCTAAGTAGGCATTTTAGCCAAAATTTCTAGCCTTACCTTTCTGTCAACCTACCAGGACCTTCAGAAAAGGAAAAGTGGTATATAGACTTGTTTAGAGAAAACGTTGTTACTCTTATTAATAAGTATTTCCTTTGTCTATTACATGAATGCAGCAGTTTAAGTGTTTTCACGTATCAGCCTTAATCTCTATAATATCTCTGTTAAAGTTTTGGGGCGCCTGGATGGCTCAGTCAGTCAAGTGTCTGACTCTTAATTTCAGCTCAGGTCATGATCTCATGGTTCGTGGGTCAAGCCCTGCATCAGGCTCTATGCTAGAAATGTAGAGCCTACTTGGGATTCTCCTCCCTCTCTCTCTCTGCCTCTCCCCCACTCATACTCTCTCTCTCTCAAAAATACACTTAAAAAAAAAAAGAATTAAAAAAGTTTCCATACTTTTACTCATGCTGTGCCACCTAAGAATGCCCATGCACTCATATCTACTGAAATCCTACCCATACTAATAAGGAGCTCAAATTACGCCTTCTCCACAAACTCTGTACTCTAACCTAGTTTTAAGTGATCCTTCTTATCTGTGAACTCAAACTGTTAATTGTTTTTCTATTACTTTATTTGGCAATTATTTATGTACTGTCCTATGACTTCTTTTCTGTTATCTTGAAATTTAAGTCTTTTTAATATTTTACCTTATTAAGGCTTTATCTTTCTAATTAGATTTTGATGGTAGTATCAGGTATTACATGTTTTGTTATTTCTGCCATGTTCCAGCAGAGAACTAGGTGTAGTCAGAGAAAGCACAAAATAGATTACTGAACAGGAAAAAGACACGCATCCTTTTGAAACTTTTATTGCCTAAAGATAGAAGTCCCTCTAATTGAAAATTCTCTTTAGGGGCGCCTGGGTGGCGCAGTCGGTTAAGCTGTAACCGACAAAGCTAGGTTGGCCGACCATTCAAGGGTTCGTGAAACAGCTCAAGCGCCAAGGCTAGTTTCGTTGCTGATGGCTCAGAGCCTGCGTGGCCATTCTCAGTGTTCCTACTGCTCTCCTCCCTGTTCATGTCTGCTGTCTCTCTGTCCCAAAAATAAATAAACGTTGAAAAAAAAAAAAAAAAAAAAGAAAATTCTCTTTAATGTCAATTCTCTATCCGCTGCTATTGTCTATTCATTTTAGTAAAATCTACATTATCTAAAGGATACAAGATCACGTATGGGTATATTAGCCATCAACACCAGTATGTTCAGACTTAATGAATCACTAAAGATTGTCAATGCATACAAATTCAGGTATAATGAGCAAAATAAAGAATCAATCTTTTCAGTGAAACATTATGTCACTTTTCATCACAGCTGTGATCTTAACAGTAAACATGTTTACCTTTCTCATTCCAGGTGAAATGTACTCAATTAAACCTATAAAAACAGGAATGCCTTGTTTTATAAGCAATACCCTCTTTTATACATAATCTTATTATGTGAAATGTATAACATATTAGATGAAGACACTAACTGAATGGACAGATAATCTTCTGGGCTTTTGGTCATTCACTACTGCTGGCACTTAGAGGACTCTCCAACCTTTTTCTTGCCCCTAACAGTAGAAAACCATATAAAACATGGATCCGGGGGGAGGAGTGGAATCTAACTAGGAAACACAGATGAGGACAGCAGATAGAACAGCTGCGAGAGTTCAGTGCCTAGGACCAAAGAAAGAATAGAAAGTGAAAGCCAGTGTAGAGCAAGAATGTGTCACTTGGGGGGGAAAGTAATAATAACCAAGAGCCCCAAATCCATAGTTACAATCCTGGTTCCTATCTCTGGACAATCAGAATCAAGAACAGGAGTTCATTTCTATAATCAGCTGCCTGGCACCAGAGCAGCAAAGGTGCAAATGAGAAGAAAAAGAATTCTTGAATATACAATAGTAAGAGCCAGTGTTTGCCTGTTTAAAACCTAAAAGTATGTTTCCACTGTAGTAATGCCACATATGATTTTCTTTCTGGTATACAGAAAATCTCTGTAGGCTAGGCAGTAAGCTGGGCAGGGAAACGAACCCAAAGGAAAATAATTCTATTCCACTTGGAAAATCAACTTTCAGATCACATTTTCTATGCTTAGATTTGACATATGATAATGTTTTTATTTTCAAGACTTCCTTTTAATGGAAAAAAGGTTATCAAATTTTTAGAGATAAAACACCTTGAGGCCCAGAGGTCTACAAATAAAAATAACAAAACAAGTCAGTAGAAAATCAAATTCAATTTTTTTGTTCAGCTACACTAAAATTGCACAGCTGCCCTGGACATACGTAGTTAATATATTTGAGAATATTTTGGCACAAAATTAACATTAAATATTAATAAAAGTTATGAACAACACTGTATATACACTTGCCTTCACTACAGAAAGGTCTCTTAACGCCAGAGAAATTTACTGTTTCATGAAGAGTCTTCTCCTCTTGACAGTATTCGCAATATGTAACTATGCAATGCAACTTCTTATAGTCATCTGAACAAGTTTTGCTGCAGAATTGATGCACTTTGTTCTAAATGCACAATGGGAACCTTGGTAAGTATATGACAACCACCTCAAGAACAAGTTTAAGAAATAAACAAGCCACTTTTACAGAAATAAACTTAAATCATTTACCTAGTTAATGTGATTGATAATCCCTGGGGACACATTTTCAATAGGCCACAGACAGCTAATTTAACTAATTCACTGCTATATTTAGACATAATTCCACAAACTTCAATACCATTAACTACCCCAAAATTACTCAGTAAAATAGTAAAGGTACCACTAAAACAAGATGGCAGTCTGGTGCTGCTAAGGGAACGGGATTAATGGGTAGAAAACAATGAAAGATAAAACATGGGTAAACTAAGAAAAGATGAGAAATATGACATTAACACCAGTTTCACTCAAAAAGAAATATTCTTCATAGGTACAGCCAAGCAGACTCAATCACATTCCTATCACAGACCTATGATGGATAAAGTATTCATTTGGGGCCATCGTAAGTATGCTGCTAAACCTGAGACTCAGTTGGTTCCCTTGAATGGAGCTAGGTTAGTATAATTAGTTACTTCTCCTGGCCCCAAACCTATAAAGCCAGAGCTACACTCTCCAAATATTCAGCCAAACACAATCAAGTTAAAATTTACAGGGCAGCACCTTTTCCCCTTTGTTATTATGAAGGATACAGACTAGGTCTAATCTATCTACCTAACGCCTGGCAAAGATAGCTGAAGACCAAGATAAGGAAGGTGAAAGAGTCTAGGAAGCAACTCAAGTAGTAAGGCAATCATCAGTGGAAAATTGCCCCATCATGGACATCTAACTTATAAGAGGAAAAACAGCAACAAAGAAACCACAACTGCCAACCATGGAATGAGAAGAACAAAGCCTCTGAATTCTCAATCACCTGAGGGAATGGCTCAACTCTAATTCAGTTTGATAGACAATGTTTATTAACTCCTCCTAATACTTAACCTTCATGTAAATAAAATCAACAGCAAGACTACAAAAGCCAGGTAGTTCTAACATGGAGATCGACAGAAAGGATCTCCATTTCATCTAGTATGATCAAAATTCAGTTTAGGCAGGATCTTTATTCCCTATATGATATTATTCCATGTGCTTGCTTATGGATTTCTTTCCTCATTCCCCACCATTCCTTTATTCTTACTAGGCCTTCAACATTTTTCCTGTTATGATTTAGAGAGAGTTACAGTCACTAAAAGTCATCACTGGGTACCAACAACAGTCTCCAAGAATTGGTTTAAGTGCTCTTGAGAAAGCACCAAACAAATTAACAAACTAAACCATTTTCTAGGGACTAAATTTAAAACAATGAAATTTCAGATTCCCAGAATACTTTAGTATTCATGTAGTCACGTTCTGGTTACACCTTTCTCCTAAGACTCAGATACTGAGTGACTGCCAATAGCCACTAACAAATTTTGGTTCAAGAGCAATTTATTGTTAATACTAATGTCTTATACACCATTTTGTTACATATTCCATGCCATCAAAAAAGGAGAAAAGAAAGAATGGCCAAGGGTGAACACTGATCAAGAAAGCAATGTTCAGCCAGGTCCACCTGTCTGTTAATCCTTCCGTCCACCCACCCACCCATCCATCCATCCATCCATCCATCCATCCATCCATCCATCCATCACTGTTCCCTTATTTAAATAAACAATAACGATAGGACTTTACTAATGGCAAAAATATATGTCAAACTGGTGAAAGCAAGAGTGATGAGAAGGGAAAATAAAATAAATTTATATTAGGATTCTTTTATTAAGACAATTATATAATGTTAAATGACAATATGTTAAGTGACTAACAAATTTTAATTTCTACAGGTAGCAGGCAATACAAGATATTACAGTTCAAAGACAATATTTATAAGGATGAGAGTAAAAATGAAAAAACACGGTACAAACAGATGTTCCAGATATGTAGCTAAACAGAGTAACATTCCATACACTATCACAAACATAATGTCAATATATGAATATGACTTCAATAATTTTTGTTTGACCTAAAAATAAACATGTCCTTTGTCGATGCTATTCCCATAAGAAAGTATTCAATCATCACAAATTCTGAAGAATCCCTATACACTAAGAAATAGATCCTCAAATTGAAACACCATTATTAGTTTACTATACTCTCATTTAAGCAAGATAATATACATAACAAAATTGAACTTACCTCCCATTCCAGGATTTCTGGCTTTGAACAAAAGGAATTTTTGCAATAGTTGCATTTCAACTGAATATCACTTGGAGCTACAAACTGGCCATTGGAAGATGACTGCATACTTAGAGCCTAAAACAAAGAATAAAAACATTCTGAGCCTGACACAGATTTTAGAATTTTTATTTGTAACTACTGTCAAATATTGACTATGTCCAGAAAACAGTATTTTGCTTAAATATTTCCTTAACACATAAAATTACATTTCTCAATTTTGTCTTTAAAAATGACACTAGTGAGGCACCTGGGAGGCTTAGTAGGTTGAGCACCGACTTCAGCTCAGGTCATGAGCTCACAGTTCATGAGTTCAAGCTCCCCATCAGGCTCTCTGCTGTCAGTGCAAAGCCTGCTTCAGATCCTCTGTCCCTCCCCCACTTGTGTTCTCTCTCTCAAAAATAAAACATTATAACCAAATAAATAAAGACTACACTAGTACAGTTAAGTTTTATGAAACAAATTCTTTTACTACAGGATTACTTTACTTATTTAAAATAATATGAAAAAGGACAAAATACCATACAGTTCAAGTATGATTTTTTTCTCTTTAAGAAAATGTAAGCAAATAAGAGTTAAGTTCACCAAGTTTTGAACTAGTAATTAAATCTTTAAAAAAGCCTAGCTCCTAGTTTAAGTAGTAATTTGTCCCACATGCAATATTGCTATCATTTTTATTCCAATTCCATCAGGGAAAACAGCCCTTTTAAATTGGTCATTTCTTTTACACCTTTGTAAAAGGTGACATTGGTCACCTTTTTAAATTGGTCATTTCTTTTACAAAGTTAGGCAGGGGGGAAAGATGAACAGACTGGTATTGATAACAATAGTCTTAATTTTATGGCATTTTTAAAAGTTCAAACAACTTACAGAATAGGAAAAGATATAAGCATAGATGGGTTTTAAAAGTTTTGCTTGAGTTTCTAACGTGAGTGGTGAGGATGCTGTAATCTTCATTCCCTAATATATTACATGGCATATATAATCTTCAGAATATATTAAAGTTAAATTTTTTTCAGGGTGGCAGTTAGGAGAGGAAAAAAAAATTATTTAAAAAAAATATGGGGCGTGTGGGTGACTAGGTTTAGCATCTGACTCTTGGTTTCGGCTCATGTCATGATCTCAGTTTGTGAAATCAAGCCCCGTGACAGGCTTGGGATTCTCTCTCTCACCCTCTCTCTCTGTCTCTTCCCTGCTCGCATGCACGCGTGTGCACTCTCTCAAAATAAATAAGTAAACATCTAAAAAAAGATGTTTTTTAAACATTTCTTAAAACTTCTGCATACAACATACAACACACAACACAATCAAGATTTGTGAAAAAATAAAACATGCAGATTTAAGACAGTAACCATCAGGTGAATACATTTTTTACATAAAAACCAGCAAGTGTCCTTACACTTCACTTCAAAAAAACTGCAAGTCCATTAAAGTATTCTTTCAAAACAAATGAAATACTATCCTATTACCTTATTTTGAAATGGAAAAACATCTAATAAAGACATAAAGCTCAAAATCTATGGTTTGCTTTAAGATACAGAGAAAGGAAAAAAATGCTGCTTGTCTATTTGTCAACTTTGTACTACTTTACGCCGTTATAGTGAGGAGGCTGCTTACAGGCTTATCCGGCTATAAGAAGCCACATTAAGTATTTACAAGATACGATGTACATACAATGTACATATATGAGTGGTCTCATCAAATCATGGGCAATACAAGTTTCAGTTAAATGAAAAAAGTACTGAAAACATTTTTTAAAAAACATTTTCCACTAACACTTCAAACATCAAAAAGTAATACAGAAAGGTGAAGTCTGAGAAGCAGCATGTCAAAGACTCTGTCATTCTCTCATCTAATTAATCCTTCCTTATTCCTTAATTTCTAGTTTTGGAAAAGCCAGGTCAGAAGCAGTATTTTACCACTCTAAAGGATTTCTCAATTGCCACGATCCCAGCTTCCAAAATAAAAGTTTAGTTATGAATATGGCTTATAAACTTAACTCAGTGGAGGATATAACTATTAACAAAAACAACATTTACCTGGTTGAATTAAAAACCACCTGAATTTAAATGATAATAATGATTACAACTACGGTCACGTACTTAAGAGACTACATTTTCAGGCTATATAATGCAGAATACAGTACCTACAACATTGTGGAACTGCTGGAAGATTCACTATCATGAAGCATCACTTTATGTACTGGATTGAATCTTTGAATTTTTCACATAGGTATTTCATACATATTTCAAGTATTCACAAGTATTTCAACAACACTTTGAATTTTTCACATAAGTAAACCTACTCATGCCACTTAACTAGTGCTGAATCCCATTTTCAACTATTCCCTCCCAGTGGTCAGTTTAAGTCCGAACACTTCCAGTAATACATCTTCTGAAATTATCCGTAACCCCAACTTTGAAGAAGTATGCCAGAAAGTTCTTTACCTTTACAAAAATGAAAAAGGTCTCCCTAAACTGATTTTGTACTAAATTAGGGCCCACTGTAACAAGTCCAATCCCCTTTTTAACTGGCAGATTTCTGACAAATAGTTGTCGTATGTTTTGTTCATGTTGGTCATAGTTTTGTCATAGTTTTTTGTTTTATCATAAAACAGAAGTCTCCTTCAGAGTCACGTTATTGAAACCACTAAGAAAATAGTACACATCAGGCATCGCGCTCAATTATACTAAAACTTATTTTCCTTCAAGTCTGTTCTATAAATAACAACTGAAAAGTCAATCAGAGTCTCCATGCCACACTGTAAGCATCTGCAGCCATGTCTATTACCGTGACCCTATGACCTCCGCCTGCAGTCTGGCCCTCAACAAACAACACGCAATTTAACATATTAAATAAAGATGAAGCATATTACACTGTTTATTTCCCGTGTGTATTTTGTTGGGAGTGGGAAAGATCCAAAATAAGTAACAAACCTGAAATTTAGCCACACAACTGGAATTGCAGAAGTTATACAGTTTCCCATCAGGCATTGTGGCTTGATATTGAGGTAAGGAGTTTCGCTTACAAAAATGGCAAATAATTCCCAAACCTAGGAGAGAAAAAGTACATATCTGATTTCTTTATAAAGTAATAAAAGCCTAAAAACAAATCCTACTTGACCTCTGAGAGTAATTTTTAATGGAACCTTCTGTAAACTATTCTTTTATTAAAATAAATTTCCAAGATCATGTCCACCTTAAAATATACTGTTATAAAGAGTCCAATATCGTATCTCTAAAACAAACATGGATATATGAAACAATCTCAGTTTTAATCTCTGAGGGAAAAACAATTTTGCTAAGAATGCAGCCATGGACAGAACTTCACCAATCACTTTAAATTGAAGAAAATGAAAGATATATGGAATGGTTAAAAACCACTAAAAAAGTGTGCAGTGGGAGCATGTGGGTGGCTCAGTCAGTTAAGCATCTGACTTCAGCTCAGGTCATGTTCTCGCAGTTCGTGAATTCGAGCCCCGATGTGGGCTCTGTGCTGACAGCTCAGAGCTTGGAGCCTGCTTAAGAGTCTGTGTCTCCCTCTCTCTGCCCCTCCCCTGATCACACTCTGTCTCTCTGTCAAAAATAAATATTAAAAAAAAAATTTTTAAGAAGTCTGCAGTAAGAAAGTTTAATGTGATGAATAAAAATAGTTTATGCAGTTAAAAACAAGTATAAAAACAAAGTTAAAGGGAAAGTGCAGTTAAGAAATTAGTCATGTTATTAAAGTTTTTTAACTTTCCAAATACCTGAAACTTACTTTGTGATTTTGCATATTTTGTCTTGTGACTGTTCATGCAAGCAGTTGAACAATATGGCTCCATATATCCATTAGGACCTATACACTGAGTCATATCAAAAAACCTGCACTGTGTTCGGCAACCAGTACAAGTGGTCAGTTTTCCGTATTTCTAAAATTTGAAACAAAAAAGAAAATTAAGAAAATCACAATTTAATTAGAAAAAAATTCTATTTTTCAGTACACCTTTTCTCTCTGCAAAATAATTCTGTTAATCTCTAATCAGGTTTAGTGGGTCAGAAATCTTCATCTGGATGCAAACTGTTAACTGCAATGCATCTAAATTAGGTTCAAACAAAAGTAATGATCTCAGCTAAGTCTCTTTCAAAAACTGGATTTTTTCCCCCTATTAATTAGTTTAACAGAATCCCTATATATACTTAAGTAAAAACTGAAAACAACAAAGACACAGTGTTTTCTACTGACCATGACACACTTCTTTGTCATCTGACAGAAGAAATTAAATGTGTCTATAAAATGTAAGCCTTAATAATCAAATGACTATGGTCCTTCAGAGAAAAGTCTGATGTTAAATACTTTTTGCACTGAGCTGTGCTGCTGTCCCAAAAACTTATGGAACTTCTCTTAAAACCAATTAACCATACCTTTGTATTCTACATTTAAAACCTCATTCAACCACAAAACACTGTATTTAAAATTTTTTTTAACTAAAACAAAGTCATTCAACATGATTTTGGGCTATTAACTAAAGCTAATAATTAGTCCACAGATAAGAATAGTCAATCCTTCTGGCAAGAGTGAATATTTGCCAACACTAATTCAAAGCAACAAGGTAAAATACATGGTGGTAAGACTAAAGGAGGTACACGTTGAAAATTACTAGACAAAAGCAGTATTACTGAAATATAGAGTCTTACAAAAATACAATTCAGATGAACTGGTATGTTTATATGAAAAACACAAATAGTCACATTAGAAATCAAACATACGGAAAAGCGATAGGTGCAACTTGTATTTGAGCTGTCTTCTGAGTGGTTATACAATCATCATAACTACTTAGATCAAGTATCACGTATCGTGTTGCAAAATAATTGTATCCACCTTTCTACCCGGTGTTGAGATTATTTCTCCTCATCATACCCCAAAGCATTCAGTACAATATGATATTAAAAGGCCTTAAAATATTCCACGGATAGATGACTGATAAATAGACATCAGGGAAGATAACAAGCAGGCCAAAAATAACAAAATGGGTAAATTGCATGGACAAATTTCATGAGCGCCACAGGATTTTAGGAAATAAAGGTAGTAAGTTGAAGGGAAAATAACCAAAACAAATAACTAACATCCACATCAAAGAAAGAAAAAAACTTTCTTAGCATGCAACAAACAGAAGAGGTATTAAAAAAAACAGAGCTGTTTATGTGCCAGGAATGTATGTTATATGCATTCTGGTACTGTAAGAAAGTAACCAACACTGTCTACTCCTCATTTATTTAAGTCTCATATTACTTCAACATAAGTCCTAAGTTTTACTTTTCAAAGTAGAAATCAACTCCTTCTTCAACATCTGACAGACTGCAAAAGGAAATACTTATCAACAGCAAAAGAATGGTAACAAGGAACAAAAAAGAATAGCTGCAAACCTATTAAATCTAATTATGACTCTCCCAATGTTACAAAGAGGAGAATGCTGGTTTCTGTTTGAAATGACAAAATATTTTCCTGAGGCCTATATGATAATTTAAATTTTTATAATGGGGAAAGGATAAAAGAAAACATCAATAAAACAATGAAAGAAAAAAAGAATGTTTAAAATCTGGCACCACAGTACAAATTAGGAATACTAAAATTATCAGGACACTTGCCATTAGATCACAGGATTATAGAGAGATAAAGCCAAGTAGCTCTCAGTAGATGTTTGTACAAGACCTGCATGTAGCAGCACCCATAAAGATTTCTTTTACCAATATAAATGAAGTACAACCATCTAATCTAATCTCAGATTAGATTTTTGTTTTAACTTATTAGAAACATCCTTCAAGTTGACAATAATTTTATTGGCAGAATGGTTAAGTAATTAGTAAGTTTTAAGACGTACCAATAAAAAGTAGACCAGTTGAATTGGGTCAAGTAAACAAGGAGCTAAGCAACTGGTCCACACTGACAAATACTTTTATCTGAAGAGAATGAGAAAGTACTATCAGAAAGATAGAATCATTAATATTGAAAATATTTTAACACAGCCACTTTCACAGCCACCACTACATCAAAAATAAAAGGACTCACTTAATGAAAGAACATTAGCAAAAAAAAGGATATCCGTTCATGCCATGTTTTCTGTTTTATATGTAAACAATCAAAATAATCATTTAAGTTTCATTCATCCTATAAATTATACATTGAGTGATTTTTAAAACAAAATTAACTGTAACAAATTCACCATTATTATATTCCTCATTCGGGCATGGGAGAAAATAAACCTACTTATAAATTCAGTGTAAAAGAATTAAGGTAGAACTAATTAAAACGAGATATTGGTAAGGCAAAAGGTAAATATAATGGGGAGTTTATGGCAGATTGGTTCATTTTCAGTATACTCATTGAAAAATGGTGCCTTACATTTCAAGTTTAACCAATTCCATATGCACACCAAAATTAATCATCACATGATTTTAAAACTTCCCTTTAATTTTTCCTTTTACATGTTAATTAATACATTTCTTTGACTACATTTTGACCAAGTCGGTGAACCACGTGGGAAGGTACTCAAGAGATAAAGGTTTAATCTACTTGACACTGAGGGCACTCTATGAAATGTCCTATAGGATTCAAAAATGTCAATGTCATGAAAGACAAAGACTAGGGAACTATATCAGATTAAAGCAGACGGGACTTCCACTCCAGCCATGATAGGAGTATCAGGGGCTGGATTTAACCTCCCACTTTTAAAAACTAGAAAACTATACCAAATATATGAAACAATGGCTTTTAAACATTCCACAAAACAGAATATAACTCATTATGTAGAAATTAAAAAAAATCAAGCTGTGGAAACATCTAGAAATGACAGCTATGAAAATAGTAGGCAAAATGTTAAAAGCGCTATGATAAATATGCTGATATATTCAAGAAATCGGTAGAGGAAAACACGAACATAATGAGGCAAGGAAAAGAAGATATAAAAAAGACCCATATGGAACTTCCAGAGATGAGAAATACAAGAGCTAAGATGTAAAACACACCACATGGGACTCACAGTTGATTAGAAAAGATTAGTAAAATTAAAGACACAGTAAACACTGTCCAAAATGAAGAAGAAAAAAAAGAAAGAAAACCAATAAATACAAGAGCCACACGGACCATGGAACAATAGCAGGAAATCTAATATATCTGGAAGTCGGGTCTCAGAAGAAGAGGGAGGGAAAAAGATACACATTTTTAGAGAAATAATGAATGGCCTATGATCCTAGACTTGATCCTAAACAAGAAATAATTGTTTTTCATTTACATAAGGGACATCAATATTTTAAAATTCAAATAAGGTCTACAGATTAATCATATAGCAGCATTATCTCAATATGAAATTCCTTGTACTACAGTTACTATTAGTTGTATACATTTATCATTCACATATTAATTTATACACCAACTTATTCATCTGGATTAAGGAATATGAATTTGGAAATTTTTATGAAATAAAGGTTTGTAATATCTTTGAAGTAGGCACAAAAGGGACTTTTATACCTTAAATTTAAGTGCCTATTGTAGACAAGGTACTGTGCCTAAATTTTATCTGGAAATAATTTTTCATAACAAATACCTAAAAGCAAACAAGCATACCACAAGAAAATACATGTAAAGTTTAGTGAAATAAAGTTTGCCTAGAATAACATAAGAAAACAATCATCATCTGACATATTTTAAGTTCATAAATTTTAACATAATACTTTAAAATGCCCGTGATTTTTCAGATACGTAATAAAGACAGTAAAGCAGTATAGGGAATTCTCAAGGGCTTAACCAGAGACACATTCCTGCTTACCTCAGGCTGCATTAAGAAAGAGTCCTGCATGTGATCTCGAACCTCCTTCAGGAAGCTTGGATGGCTACCTACCTGAAAAAAGATTTTAAGACTTTATAGGAAAAAAACCTCATTTGATAATAAAATAATACAACAACAGGTAACAAATTATCGACAGACCCTTAGACTTGACTTGCCTCTATTCTGACATAGCCAAAAAGAAAAATTACTTATTTCTCTTAGGCGACAATGTATTGTAAGATCTCATTACAGCCTCTGGTACCTCAAAGCATTCTAAATGAAGTGATTTGGAAAGTATGTAGTTACAGTTTTCATTATCGGCAAATGGGTTGTTTTGGAAACTCTTTTCAGAACACGTGACAGCTTACAGCACATACGAATTTACACCTTTATTCCTTGCAGAAAAGCATCCTGCTTTCCATTAAAATCAAAATACTATGCAAGAAAATGGAAAATAAAATACTGGAAGAGAAGTGTTAAGTATCATACAATCTCTGCTGCCAGGATCTAAATTATTAATTACCTGTATCAGTATATTCCAGAAACTAATTCACCAAGGGGGGCATAAACAACAATAGTAGCCAAGTTAAAATGTTAGAGACAAAGGTCAAAAGGGGAGGGGAAGGCAAGGATAAGATCACCACTCAATTTCAGTTTCCCCAGGCTATAGGAAAAGACATTCACTACAGCATCATGTGTAGGGCTCTCCAAAAATGTCTGTGTCCTTTTATCAAGTAACACAGTATGCATGGATTTCCATTTGCTTACTTGTAAATTATCAACATGCAATATATGAATTAAACATGAAAATGATATCTTATAGAATGAAAGATGAAACATTTTTAAAATAATTTTTATTTTATTTAACGACAGTATAAAGAGTATTTTCTATACCCACTAGAATAGGATCATTTGGTGTCAATAGAGGCTAGGTGAAGAGCAGTGAGAAGATATTCCTACTCTTCCCAGTTAGGGTGGATCCATCAAAGCCCAGAGGGGAGCCAGAACTCCTACCCTCCTCTCCAAGGTAACAAGGAGCTCTTCCCACCTCATGGGTGTCAACAGAGGCCAAGTGGAGAGCCTGGATTTCTACCTGCACCTGGCAATACTGAGGCCTTCATACTCCTGCCACAGCAGTGTCAAATAAAGCCAGCTAAAGCAGAAGGTTTAAATAAGATCCAGAATATAACAACATAATACCCCAAATTTCCAGGCTTCTAACAAAATCAATCAATCGATCGATCGATCAATCAATCATGAATCCTACCAAAAACCACAAAAACAACAATTTAAATGGAAAAGGATAATTAGTAGATGCTAACATAGAAAGTACAGAAATGTGAGAATTATATGACAAAGATTTTTTAAATATTTATTTTGAGAGAGAGAGGGAGAATCTCAAGCAGATTCAGTGCTGTCAGCACAGAGCCCAATGCAGGGCTTGATCATATGAACCACAAGATCAGGAAATCAGGAAATCAGCTGAAATCAGGAGTCAGACACTCAACCCACTGAGCCACCAAGGTGCCCCAACAGCCATGATAAAAATGCTTCAATAAAGAATAAAAATATTTAGCAATGAAAAATAGAAATTCTCATCAAAAGAGAAGAAGATATAAAGAACCAAATGGAAATTCTAGACTGAAAAAAACTATTAACAGACATTTAAAAAATCAATGGATATATAAGATATGTCAAAAGAAAACAGGAATCAAGTGAAAATGCTCCCAATGGCCAAAGCTAGAAAATTTTGATTAACAAAAGAAACCTGTATTTTACTATAGCCCCAAATTATAAAATACCCATTGATGTGATAACGTTGGGGTTTAGCAGCAAACAGTCAAGAAAGAATTCTTGAGGTGTCTTTGGTGCAAAAGGGGTGTTTCTGTTTGTTTTTTTTTAATGTTTATTTATTGTGAGAGAGAGAGAGAGAGAGAAAGCAAGAGCAGGAACAGGGAACAGTAAAGACAGAGGGAGAGAAGAATCCCAAGCAGACAACGCTCTGTCAGCGTAGAGCCTGAAACAGGGCTCAATTTCACAAACCACGAGATCATGACCTGAGCCAAAATCAAGAGTTCGGATGCTTAACCAACTGAGCCGCCCAAGCACCCCTATAAAGTTGGTTTTATTAAAGCACAGGGATAGGACCCGAGGGCAGAAAGAGCTGCACTGGAGTTGTGAGGAGTGGCTGATTATACACTTTCAAGCCGGGAGGGAGTTAGGGATAACATAAGACTCTAAGTTTGGAAGCAAGGTTTCTGGAACCTTGAGGGGCTAGTAGCCAGCTGTTGTTAGGAAAAGGTCATTTACTATGGTCTAGTAAAACCTTAGTCAGGAGACCTTTCAGATAAATATCATGGAGACATAAGCTTGGAGGATGATTACTAACATACATCTTGGGGGTAGAGATAAAAGGAAGCTTCCAAAGGAATTTTTACATGTTAAAGGAGACTTCTAGGATCCTGGAGGCAGGCTAATGTTAAGCTAAAGTATTAATATTGAGTCAGTTGAATTCCTAGAGGAAGGTCACTCTGCCTGTCTCAAGGACTTGTCAATGGGCTGTAAACTGAAAAGAAACTGAATTGTTTTTCTTTTGCCTTTTGTTGCCATGTGATCCAGGAGTCCCTACTGATATTAATAAATGACTGAATAAAGTAATAAATGTAAGAGAAAAGACAAATCTCTTATGCAGAAAAAGCCCTAGTAACTGTATACTCCACCCTAAAGGAGACAGTGACTTCATTTTCAAGAATACAACATGGAAATGGGAGGAGGCGGGCTTTACAACGGAGAATCCGGACAAATGCTACTGCCGCAAGATGATAAACATCAACTTCAGCAGTCATTTTAAATCATGTTGATAGGAGAACCCTTATGATATGCTGAAAACATCAAAACTGTAAAAGGTAAACACATCTGTGACATTCCTCCTAAAAACCTACAGCTACAATCTAATGAGGAGAAAACATCAAATTCCAATAGAAAGGCATTTTACAATATACCTAAATCCTAAAAACTGTTAAGGCCATTAAAAACAAAACTATGAGAAAATGTCACAACCAAGACTACCCTAAGGTTTCATGATTACTGAGTATAATGTGGTACTCTAGATACGATCCTAGAACAGAAAAAAGACATTATATGAAAGTTAAGGAAATCCATGGGCACCTGGATGGGTGGGCCAGTTAAGCATCCGATTTCAGCTCAGTTCATGATCTCACGGTCCATGAGTTCAAGCCCTGCATTGGGCTCTGTGCTAACAGCTCAGAGCCTGGAGCTTGCTTCAAGATTCTGTCTCCCTCTCTCTCTTCCCCTCCCCTGCTCATACTCTGTCTCTCTCAAAAATAAATAAACTTTTTTTTTTTTTAAGTGAAGGAAATCCAAATAAACTATGGACTTTCCATAATGCCAGTTCAGTAAATGTAACAAATATTACCTTACTAATTTAAGGTGTCAACAGAAGACCTTACCATGAGAACACTGTACTATCTTAATTTTTCTATAACACTAAAACCATTCTAAAAAAAATTATTAGTAAACAACAAGAAAAAAACAACAAATAGCAGAACAAAGACAGAGGAAAGAATCAGTGATGGAAAATACAGAAATTATCCAATCTGAATAGAAAGAAAACAGGCTTGGGTGGAAAAAATAAAAAAGAACAGAGCCTCAGGGATCTGTAAGACTGTAACAAATATTTAACTTTCAAATCACTAGAGTCCTGGAAGGAGAGGAAAAAGAGGATAAGGCTGAAAAAGTTCTCAAAAAAATGTCTGAAAACACTGCAAACTAGGCAGAAGATATAAGCCTACAGATAGAAGCTGAGCAAACCCCAGGAAGGATAAACTGAGGGAATCACAATATATCAGAGTCAAATTTCTGAAAAATTTTAAATAACATTAAAATTTGGATAAAAATAAAAACAAAGGAAAAAAATCTTAAAACCAGCAACAGAAACGACACAGCTATACGAGAAATACAACTGGAATTACAACCTAGAAGGACAGAAAACTTTCAGTCAACAGACCCTCCAACTCAACCCAAACACCACAGGAGCAATGTGGCACCAACCCCACCCACACTAGAAAGGACAAGTAGAAAGCCTAGACTCCACCTTTGCCTGGCTATAATGAGGTACCCCACACCAGCAACCCAGCTAGGGTGACATAAGAAAAGGTCAAGTAGGGAGCCTGAACTTCTTAACCTATCAGAAAGTAACAAGGTACCTTGTCACCTACCCATCAAGATGAGAACTAGCAGAGTCAAACTTTCACCAGCAGTACTAAGGCCAAAATTGAAATTAAATATAGTCTAAAGAACAGAAAGAAAATGAAAAAAAAAAAAAAAAAGTGAACAAAGTCTAAAGAACCTATAGGACAAATTAAGCAGACTAACATGTACATTATGACAGCTCTAAAAGAATAGAGAGAACAAGCAAATTTTTATTTTAACAATGGCTGAAAACTTCATAAATTTGATGATCATAAAGAAATCCACAAACCTGAAAAGCACAACAAATTATAAGTAGGATAAACTCAAAAAGACACACAACAGTACAAATTATAATCAAACTGTTGAAAGACACAGAGAATCTTCAGTAGCAAGAGGCAAGCTACTTATCAAGTACAAAGAAACCTCAGTAAGATTTTCCACCAATTTCTCATCAGAGACCATGGAAGCCAAAAGGCAGTGAGAGGACATATATAAAATGCTGAAAGAAAAAAAACTTTCAAACAAAAATATTATACCCGGCAAAACTGTTATCCAAACATGAAGGACAAATAAAGACATATCAAATAAAAAACTGTGGGAATTTGTTACCACCAGACCTACTCTAAAGAATTGTTAAAGACAGTCGAAGATTTAGGCTGAAATGGAAAGGAAACTAGACAGTAACAGAGTGAACAAATAAGACTCTTTAGCAGGGGCGCCTGGGTAGCTCAGTCGGTTGAGCGGCCGACTTTGGCT